GAGGTGATCATTAAATCTGACCAATCGGAGGCCAGATTCTAGTGCTTCGTTAGGTAAACACGAGGACCAATGTCCTTTTCCCCACGCTCCCAGGAAGACTCACCTCCCTGACCTGCTGGGCCCCGTACAGCAATGCCACGAAAGGTGGTGGGGGCCTCAAAACCTCTTGCATCCGTCCCCTGCAGTGGCCCTGATGTTTGCCAGGATGTCACCACCACCACGTCGGGATGCTGTGGACACTGCTTAGAGAAGGTGCTCACTCGCTGTGAGACACTGCTCAGTTCGGACTCCTGACACCGGTCAGGAAGGCAGTGTCCCATTCTCATTCTACAGACGAGGCGAGCGAGACTCAGAGGCCTGTATGGACCGTGACTGGCTCAAAGCAGTGCCCTTGAGCCCTGGCCACACTGCCCCATCAGCTCGGACCTCCCGGTGCTTCCTGGGGCTCCAGCACCTTGTTGGTGTAGGGGGCGCTCCAGCAGAGTTAAACCAAATCTCTTCTCAACGTCTGCCACCATGGCAGCCTGCAGACACCACACACCTCAGGAGCCCGGCCGCCTGCTGGAGCTGGCTGGGCCGGCAGCGGCCAATGTGAGTAGGCTTCCCTGGCAAGACAGGCAAGACTTACGGTAATAGAGAGCCCTGGCTGTCCTCTGGGAGGCCTGAGGCCTAACTGAAGTCCTTAAAGCTACACGATTCAAAGTAATGACCATAAGGACAAACTATAGGAAGAGAAAGGAAAATAAAAGGCTCTTTGACAGAAAGATCTGCTCTGTTACTTTGCAACAAAATGCTGAGTTTTGATGCCTGTTTAGTATCACTTAAGGAAAAAATAAAAGATGTATGAGACTTATACATTTAGTCATTTTTTTTTTCCAGAAATGGAGATAATTTCCCTTGACTTCACTAGCTTGGGAGCCCCCCTAAAACACCACCAAAGTACACCTGCAAATATCATTCGGACTGAGGAAGCTGAAGGGGCTACTGAAACTGAACCTCTAACAGCCTTTTTTGTTTCCATAATTTCATGGTTTGTTTGGAAAACTGCCCGACTATGACACTGTATCATCTGGTATAATATAACCCTGGCGTGCTGAGTGATTGCTGAAGGCCAGCTTGTCTACTTGAACAGCGTAGGAGATAAAGCATGAATTCAAAACCAAGTCAGAAAAATAACTTTTTTTTTTTTTTTGAGAGAGATTTTTGTTCTAGGGTGCATGCACTCACCCGTGGGAGAGAGAGACAGAGAGAAATCACCCCCTAGGGGGATGGCCATGTCACAATCCCTTCTTCTCCATTCTCCTCTTGGGATTTGGGGCATGCACACATACACAGCTGGCATGAGTTTTAGGCCACTGGGTCCAGGACTCGAACCACATTAGGCTAAATGGGAGTCCAGCGATGTAACCATTATGCTGGTCATCTCAGAAAAATAATGTTTAAAGTGCCAATTAGTATACAAACAGGAGTGCAATGTCACAAGGTAACATTAGAAACAAATCCTGTGAGAAGTTCAACAGTGAACTTCCCCCAAAGTTTGGTATTCCCCTGGTAGTGTGTGGTGCTAAGGAAACACGTGACTATGGTTTTGCCACAAGAAGAATGAGATAGAGGACACTGTCCCCACACCTCTTCTTGACAAAACTGACTTTTAGGGTAGGAGACCCCTGACTCAGGGCACCTGGGATCATCAGAGCTGCAAACTCTAGCTGAAGCCCTGAGTCTGAGTTCGGTTTGATTCTCACACACGCTAATGCTCCTAAATGATAGTAAATTTTGTTCTGCCTTCACAAGGAATCCCATTACCATAGCAACTTGATTGTGATACCACAAGTTTTCCTATAAATGGGGCTTAGAATGCTGCCTTTTTTCCCTTGCAGGGTGGTAAGGGCCATGTCCCAGCCGGTCTCCTGCATCAGTTCAGGGCCTCTGGATGCAGAGGTGAGCCCCAAACTGCAGCAGCTCAGTCCGTCATCATCCACCCGCTCCACTCCTTGCTCCCCATGTTCCAGCCCCATAAATATTGTCCTAATATCGACTTCTGGGGGCAGATAAAGTCCCAGAGAGCGAAGCTGTAACTTCTCTTTGTAAAGTCAGGCAGGGATAGAGAATGGAAGATGAATGATTTTAGAATGTTTTCCTGTATGTGCTAAAATTTTTTCCCTGGAAATTTGGGACAAATGATACATTGTCATCAATGCAGCTCAAGCTAGCATTAAATATCCAGCTGCCACCGCAAGGTGAGCACTGTAGGGACTGTCCTTTACTTCCTCCTTTCTCCCAAGACTCCCCCACTCTGTGCCCCCAGTAGAGCCTCTGCCATCTGTTCCCCCTGCTCCCTTTTGGAGCTGTGGTTCTGGTGAGACTGGAGAGGAGCTCACCCCAGACTGGCCCTCCCTTAGGGCTGGCCTGCCTCCCACCCTCAGCAGACCCTGATAACATGAGCACAGGTATTTCCTATTTGCTGGGCACACCCTCTGGGCACGGCAGAGGAGAGGCCACTCAGCAATCCTGCCTGCCAGGACTGGCACAGGCATTCAAGCCTCCTCCGTGGAGTCCAGACCCAAGGGCCCAGGCCTGTGTCCACACTGGATTAGAATGAAGTATGACGGCAGGTGTCCTCACTCCTGTCTGCTTTCGGGTGTAGGCCTGTACTGAGTGGCATCTTCTTTACTGCTCTTTGGTGGGGGCAGGTAGGGACTGCTGTGAGCCCCATTCACAGTCAAGGAAAAGGCACAGAGAAGTGGTGTGCCACACCCAAGGCCACGCAGGTGGGATGTGCCAGAGCTGGATTGTGACCCTGGGTCCTTCTGGGAGCTCCCAGGCAGTCCTCTCCTCTGA